AAGCGTTCAAAAGATATTCAGAGACAAAAATCAGTACACATGAAAGTTTGATGATATATCACTGATATGATATATATGGGGCATACCACGTTAAATCGGTCACTTTTAACCCCGACCCCTTTCGATTTGGCTGAAAGTTTTTTGTCCTATGCTACCCTATGAAAAACAAATTTTAGAATTATTTCAAATCTTTTTACCAAACCCAAAAACAATTTTTAATTTTTGAAAAAAATGGCTCTTTTCTTTGAAATAGCTATAACTTCTTTAAAATTCAACCTATTGGAACGTTTTTTTTTTAATATTTATTTTTAAATGTACTTTTCAGAAAAAAATACAAAAAATTTTCAAAATTATAAAATCCATAAAATTTTCGTATTTTTTGAGAAAACCCGTTATTTTCTCGAAGTTCGCCATTTTTCCTTTTTTTTTATTTTCTAGAAAAAAACTTTGTCTAAATCTGCGATTATCCCCGCCAGTCCCAGAGTAAGCTGAGTTAGTTTCTTATTTTTTTTATTTAATTGAAAAAAAATTTTTAATTAATTTTTTTTTTAAATTAAATTAATGCAATTAAACAATTTTACAATATTATATACTTAATTTAGTCTCAAAATACAAAGTTTAAAAAAAAAATTCAACCTTTGTTTTTTTGCTGTAAGAATATGATGAAATTATTACGTCATTTTTATGTCAGAACATATGACTTAATATTGAGGTCATAAATAAAGTCACTTTTCACTTCAAAAATTTAAAGATGACTTTATGACATACGTATGACATCATTTTAAGGTCTTGTGTTCACTGGGTAACAGACTGGGATGAGAGTGACACGCGAGCTATGCATTATATATATGAAGCAACTACAAATAGACAGTTGGAATTTATTTGTGAAGAAATGAAAGCGTACGGTATAATAAAGAAATTTGATAAACTATACTTAAAAGAATCGACAGCGTTGCAAATAGTTTGTCGCAATAAGTTGGATAGAATGAGACTAGATAGTTGTGAAATACAATGGATAATAGATAGTTGTTGCACTGATCATTTAATAAATGATAATAACTCTTGTAGTGAATTTACTGATTTGAAAAAGTATGTAAATATTCATTTTGGAGATAACAGGTCAGTTCAAGCAACAAAAATGAGAATAGTAGAAACATATTTTTAAGTTGATAATAGAAAGAATAAAGTAGCAATTAATAATGTATATTATGCTAAGGATATGAGTAAAAATTTAATAAGTTTTGGTAGAATAACTAAAAATAATATAATTGTTTCTAGAGGAGATGAAATGAATATTTATGATCAAAATAGAGAATTAACGGAAATTGCGTACAAAGAAAATAAAATTTATATTGTAAAAAGTTGGATTGATAACAGGAAATCGATAGTTAATAATAATATATTAAACAATAAAATGACTGAAAAGAGAGAAAGAAGGAAAAATGGCATAGAGTATTAGGACATGTAAATTTTGGTTATTCAAAAACGCTTTGTAAAGATCAATTTTTAAATGGTTTGCCGAATGAACTAGATTCAGAGTTAGTAAAGTGTAGAACGTGTCTAGAGAATAAAATGCATAACTTGCCATTCGCAAATAATAGAAAAATTGCTTAAGATATATTGGAAATAGTACACACAGATATATGTGGTCCGTTTAAAACTACGGGTTTTAATGGTGAAAGATATTTCATATCGTTTATTGATGATTACAGTAAAATAGCGAAAGTATATTGTATAGAATCGAAAGATGAAGTGTTTTATTGCATGGTACAATATGTGAATGAGTGTGAAAATAAAACTGGAAAAAGAGTAAATGTGATTAGATGCGATAATTGAAAGGAATATGTAAATAAAAGAATGTTTCAATTTGCGAAGGAAAAATGTATAAGGCTAATAAGTGTCCTGCGTATGTGCATGAGTTAAATGGAACGAAATACAAATGAAATGTTTCCTGCAGAAAATCAACGAGCTTTGCTGGATTCTCTATTTTTTTTATATTTAAATGTTTAGACACATGTTGTGTACATTTATTAATATTTATTATACGCAGATGACAGAATTATAGTTATTAATCGAAACATTGAAAACAATACAAATTTTGTAACATCTTGCGTAATTAATAAAAGATGACATTCTCCAAGATTAACGACTTTTTAATAGATTAGTTGGAAAACAAATTTTATTTACATTTAAAATATTTCTCTTTCATTTACAATTATTAGTTTTAAAGCGTATTAAGAATATCGCGAATTATTTTACTAAAAATTATCCATGACAGTTGATTTTATCTTGATACAATCTTCGCAAAAATTCTTAATTTTTTGAATGTATTCGATTAATTATAAAAACTTATCAGATTTTTAACCTGCTTATAAAAATAAACGTCAGAAGAGTGAACTAAAGGAGTCAGTTCCTTTGAAAGAATAACTTTAATAGTACAGATGGGCGATTGATCGTCAACCTAAAATACTTCATCATATAGCTCCCCACATGACACGAAAAGTTTTGAAATCTTTCAGCGAAAATTTTCGTAAAGTATTCCCAAAAAATCTTTCAGAAATCTTGCAGACATTATTCTAAAATATTCTGAAAAGGATTCATAAAAGATTTAACAAAAATATTTCAAGAAAATTTTTAAAATATTTTAATGAAAGAGTAATTAAAATGTTTAAAACTATTTCCATGAAACCTAGCAGAAATCATGCTAAAAGATTTCATAAAATATTGCAAGAAAGTTTGTAAGAATATTATTAAAAATATTTCATTAAATGTTGCAGAAAGGTTTTTAAAAGTTTTCTTTTAATCATTTTTTCAAAACGTTTTGTTAATCTTGTTGTAATCTTTTCAATAATATTTCTCAAAACATTTTTGAAAACTTTTTTAAAATCTTTTGCGAAATGTTCTGAAAATATTTCCAAAATTTTTCAAAAAAATATAATTTTTCGCAAAATCTTGATGAAAAAAATTACAATAAAACCTTGCAGAATAATTTTGCAAAGATTTCACACAATACTTCAAAAAAGTTTGTAAAAATATTATGAAAAATATGTCAAAAACATTTCAAACATATTTATAGAAACCTTTAAGGCCATCGATACATGTAAACACTTAAAATTTGACTGTTTTTCAGAGGCTTATTTAAAATGGAAGGAATAAATGAATCGTTTTGAAACTCAGCATGTTTATTCATTACATATTAAAATATTCGATTTTTTTTTAATTTCTATTTTCAAAATGGCCGATGTAGTAACCAATCTCCTGAGGCCCTCGCGACAAAAGGCATCAATCAGCGTGATTTTTAGCTTCAGTTACAGCAATTTGGAATAAAGAAAAAGAGTCGGAGCGTTTTCATAAAACATGTATCTTTTAGTTGAATTAGGAAAAAAACAAAAAAGTCAAAAAATCGTAAATTGGCACGACTAAGACAGAAAAGTCCGATTTTTGACCCTTTTTTTAACGATTTTTGGGTCAAAAATGGCAATTTTGGAAAATTTTGGTGGCATTCTTAAAATTTAACTAGAAGCTAATACTATAAAGAAAATGTGTGCTAAAGTTCATAAGAATCGGTTAAGAACTTTTTGAGTTATCTTGCACGTCAGTTTGAAAAAAGTCGTTTTGAGAAAAACGCGTTCAAAGTTTAGCGTTCGCGTCTAGCGCCGAGTTGAGGCGGAGCCCTTAAATGAATTTTTAATCGATAAATAATGCGAATTTCATTCAAAAAATTTACGGGCATGTTTTTGAGACATGAAACTAACTATTTATAAAAAAAAAAAATTCGATTTTTTTTTATTTTACTTGTATCGCCGGCCTTAACAAAACATGACGATAAAGTTTCAGAAAATCTTCCAAAAACCTTCTGTGGGACGAGCGCCTCCATGCCAAACTTATGAAGCATTCGTAAGAAGTATTTATCAGTAGCCCTGGATAGCTCAATTAGTTAAAGAGCAGTCGCGCCCGGAAAGCAAAAGATCCGTGGTTCGAATCCCGCTGGTCCCCCAGTCAGTCCAGCGGTCAAATTTTCTTCACGAATCCCACACAGGGGGCTCATTTGAGTGGAGGGTCTGTTTTCGTAATATGTTCCACAGTCTTACAACGCCACGAAAAAAAAAAATTCGGGCAATCGTGAAAAGGATTGGTCGGTGAGCCTTGGCAGGGAAAGCTCTCAATTGTCTTTTTTGAAAAAATTCAAAAATATTTTCTAGAAACCTTTCGCAAAATATGGTAATAAGATATTATAAAATCTTTCAAAGACCTTTTTAGAAATCCTTCCCAAGTTTCTAAACCCGGACTTTTCCACCTTGTAGAAATATTTTTTAGAAATCGTTTTGAAAGACTTAAAGCTTTCCAAGAAATGTTTTAGAAATTTCTTAGAAAGTTTTTATGTTATGTGGGTCGGGCGTTGTGTCTTCCCCAAGAGTCTATGATGAAAAGGAACTGTTCTTTTCTACGTAAGATTTTAAGCAATCTTTCAGAAATATAGTGTATAATTCTGTCATAAATTTTTCAGACTTTGATGAATTTACAACGATATTTGTATATTTTTTAACATAATAATTTATTGCTTTTTCTGGAATTTAGGTCCAAAGTGACCAGTGGCTTCTTGCAGACATATTAATACTTTTGGTAAAATTTTCTCAGAAAAGTAATGGCATATTGCGCAGTATAAGAATGCGTCATTCTATTAATAATCATGCCTTCTAACAGAAACAAGATTTTTCTTTTTTAGCAAGAGTTATAATTCTGGCTAAATTGATAGTGGCACCCTGAAAAAAGGAAAGAACATAGGTTATATGAAACAGGTAAGTGTAAAATTAAAATCGAAGATAATTTTGAGATTTTTTGCATTACGATACCTTTTAGAACAGTATTAATAACATAGTCTTTAAGAAAATTTGGTATGAATTTGAATGAATTTGTTTTTGTAAGGTTGCTGCTTCCTTTATATTATGGCCTGGAATAAGTTCTCGCTGTTTCATCAAAGATGGCAATAGCAGTACTCCGTGCGTGAAATTTCGAATGGTAACGCACTTGCAAGGAAGTACTGTATCTAACCTGAAATTTCAGTGTATGATAGTTCACTTTAGTGTAAACAAAGTAATTTTTTATTAGTTTTAAAAATGTCTACTTTTGTGCCAACTAAAGTGTATTTACGGGGAATTTTATTGCACTACTTTATTCAAAAGAAATCGGTAGCTGAACCACATAAAATTTTTGTTGAGACTTATGGTGACAATGCTCTTTCGGATACGACATGCGGAGACTGGTTTCGACGCTTGAAAAATAATGATTTTGAACTTGAGGATAAAGAACGTTCTGGCGAACCAAAAAAATTTCAAGACAGAGAATTGGAAAAATCACTCGATGAAGACCGATCTCAGACGCTAGCAGAACTTGGAAAAACATTACAAGTTGATGAGTTAACTGTTTCAAAACGTTTAAAAATGTTAGGAATGATCCAGAAGCAAGGACATTGGGTGCCATATGAATTGAATCCAAAAGATATCGTACGGCGTTTTGTCATGTGTGAACTACTGCTTCAACGGCAGAAAAGAAAATGTTTTTTGCACCGTATCGTGACTGGCGATGAAAAATGAATACACTATGATAATCCAAAGCGTAGAAAATCATGGGGTAAGCCTGGCCATGCATCAACATTGTCCGCAAAACCAAATATCCATGGTTCGAAGCTTCTTCTCTGTATTTGGTGGGATCAGCAGTGTGTAATTTATTATGAGCTGCTTAAACCGAATGAGACTATCACGGGGGATCGCTATCGACTTCAATTGATGCGTTTGAGTCGAGCCCTAAAAGAAAAACGGCCGCTATACGAGAAGAAACACGACAAAGTGATTTTGTTACATGACAACGCCCGGCCTCATGTTGCAAAACCAGTGAAAACTTACCTGGAAACGCTTCGATGGGAAGTTCTACCCCACTCGCCGTATTCATCTGATATAGCCCCTTCCGATTTTCACCTATTCCGTTCAATGGCACATGGCTTAGCTGACCAGCGTTTTCATTCTTACGAAGAAGCTAAAAAATGGGTCAATTCTTGGATAGCCTCAAAAGACATGTCGTTTTTCCAACTTAGAACTCATATACTGCCAGAAAGATGGGAGAAAATGGTCTCTAGTGATGGACAATACTTTTAATAAAACATCTTTGTTCCTTATATTTTAAATAAAGTTTTTATTTTGTAAAAAACAGCGAAAACTTATTCAAGGTCATAATGGAAACAATTTTCGTAATCTTTCGTTGACTAATTCCATATTTGTTTTAAATTTTGTCACCGAACTTTTCGTAGCTTTGTAATTAACATCCGAGAATTGGCTTGAAGCTGCTAAAAATTCTTGATCATTACTTGTTGATAATTTTCCTTAGCCTCAACAAAACGATTGTAAATCTAAGAATTAATAGTTTTATACTTATTTAGTATATCACCTCTTTTTTTATTTCCTTTTTCCATTTTGATAAAAGCTTCTTTAACGATGTGCTCTTTAGATATTAACGACTTGAATTTTATAATCCTAACTGTTTATTCTTCTTTTATCGTTTTTCTTTTGATTCATAATCGTCAGATGAGACGTCACCTTTGACGTTTTCAAAAATCTTTTCCCTACACGTTTCATTTTTATGTGTTCTTCACCACTAACAGTAATGATTTCCACAAAAATTTCCAATGTTCTATTGAAAATTTCTTTAACCATTAATATAGCTTTATGTGAAATTAAAGTTACGGATTCTGAAGCAATTAGATTATTTGCAACTAGAAAACCTTAAAAGTAAACAGCTGTATTTTTGAATCTCAATCTTGCCATTTTACTGTATATTAATTCTTTATAAGTTCTATTTTTATCTTCTGATATACTATCAATATTTTTAGTAACAAAATATAAGGATATTAAATGCAATTTTTAATTGAACGATATGAGATAATTTAATTACTGCAATATCCAATAATAAACTGGCACGTTAACTTGCAGGCGATAAATTTGTGAGAAAAGAAAAATGTGTAGAAAATGATTTAAAAAATTAGAAGATAGCGTATTATTAGACGACTATGAACCAGGAGAGAACCGACAAATTTTTTCTGACAATTTTCATTCCCTTTCTTGTATATAATTAAAAATTAATAAATGTAGCAAGAATTATTTAAACTTATAGACAGAAAAGACTTATAAAAAAGAAAAATATTCTCCCAAGAAGAATCGAAGACTATTCCTATTGATGCGACAGGTGAGAACGTCATTACCTAAAATACAAACAGTTGAATTTACAGGTATATAGATGTGTAAATAAAAAAAACAACAACCTTTAGAAGCTTTTTTATGTAGTAAAAGTTAAGAATTGTTGCAAATGTTTGCTTCGCTTGCCTCATCGCTCGATTCGGTAGGTAAAATTTAAATCCTTGCCACAGAAATGGTCCAACCATAGTCTGTTTAACTCGCTTGTAGATTGGAATAGCCATGACTGATGGAAATTGTTGAAAATCTCATATCAAAATCATATCCATTCTCTGAAATATATGTAAAAATCTATAGTTATTAGTTTCAGATTTGAATTAACGAATGAAAGTAACTAAACGTTAATCATACTCACTTCATTGATGATTAAAATTTTGACATATTTGAATAAAGTAAGATATTAATGAACGACTTCAATGCTCAAAGGAAGTGACTTGAACAGTGATATTTTAAGAAATGTATTTACAGTTGTACCATTAATTGCAGCGCAGCTTTTCTAGTTGCATTATAAATGTCATCATTGTTAGTGAAGCGATTGTAGATATCTATTATTAATTTAATGACAAATATTTTATCACATCTATTTGAAATGGAGATGCATTCAATGATAATAGATGTGATATTACATATGTCAATAGTTTACTTTGTTTTTCATTGGCTATTTTCATTAATTCACAAAATTAGTAATTAAACATCGGAATTTCTCTTCTCTTCGCAATTCACGTATCACAAAAGTACTTATAGATTGAGATTAATCATTTCAATGATAGACTGCTACATTTTTTTAATGCTTTTAGAATATGCAGAATATGTTCCATTTCAGTTTTCAGTTTAACTTTCATATCTTTACTTCGAGCTGTATTCTCCTTTGAGACTTGAGAATTTGTTTTCAGCATTTTAAGATCTATAAACAATACAATATATATAACATTTTATACATAACTTACTTAGTAATAGTATATTATAATTATTTTATTTAATACAATTTTTTATATACTAAAACTTTTCAGTATATATATGAACTTTTTAATATCTTATGAAAGAATACTTACTTAGTATTAGAATAGACAAATGAAAATCAGGTTATGGCTGCAACGCAATAAACACGGAGCCTAGATCCGTGGCAATAAGTGAATCACGAAGTGTAGATACAAGGAGTCCGAACGTAATGTTGAAAGAACGGCATCAATTTAGGGGACAGATATTTTGCCGGTAGGGCGCGCTACTTTTCAAGAAGTACTCGTTTAAATACTTACGCGGGAAGTCTTGTTGCTATTGACAACTCTGAAAACAAATATTTTGAGAAACGTAGAATTCAATAAAAGTTTAAGGAAATTTTTAGAAACCTCAAACGTTTTCAACTCAGTTATATCGAGAAGTTTAAGAGATAATCTGCAAAGGTAAAAACATCTGATATTAATTAGCATTGTTAGTAGCATTAGATTTTGGTATAGCATTCTTCTTCAAATGAAATTTCTCGTATTCACAGACATATATACTGCCATCTTTTAGAACCTCTTGATTACTTTTAATCACATCTTCTGGATTAAAATGTAATTCGCAAATGAAACTCGTAATTTTTAATCATTTACCCAGAGCAGAGTTCCATTTACTGAGCGTTTCAACATCCTTTTAGAAAAAAAATAAAACTCATTACTTCTATATTACACAAAAAAAATATAACCTTTTTGAAATATTATTTAAAAACTACACAAATGTAATAATCAATTATTTGTTAACATAAAATTTTTAATATTATTTTTAGGTTACTTACTTTTGGTGCTTTGAATAAAGCCACTTTTCCTAAATTCTCACTTGCCTTTCGGCCACTAAAGCAACCATAAACGGCACAACACTTTCCCATTTTTTAATAAAAATAACTCTAAAAAAATAAATTAATATTTTATATTTATCTAGGGGTGCCCCAGCCACGCGTTGCTGTGTCTTTTTGACGTGAAAACTTCTTTAAAATCAGATTAATTTAAAAATCGTGAAACAGAAGAACGTAAAATCGATGAAACAAAGATAATTTATTAATTAATAAAATTCAATCTATAATTTTTTATTTTATATATTAATTAATAAATAAAAGTCTATATATAAAAATTCAGTGTCACATTATGTTTGTTCACTAATAATTCTGAAACTACTTATCATATCTTAATGAAATTTATTTTATTGTACGCGTTTTTTTTCCAGCTTAGCACATAGCATAATTTTTATTGCGATTTTTAAAAATTATTTTTTATAACAAATTTAAATATTTTTATTTAGAGTTATCTAGATTGTGTAAGGTTCTTTCAATAGATGGCGCTGTATTACCAATCGATTATTTAAATATGTTCACGTATCAAAACTTGGTTTTCTTTGAAGGTTTCACTTCTACCTTGTTTTATAATACGTTCATTTAATATAATTTTTAAACTGTTCAATAAGGTCTTATTATTATTCACTTAGAACTTCAGTGAGTTTAAATTAAGCACAAAAGAACATCCAATTTGTAATTTTACATTTAAATCATATCATATTTAGTATAATTATTTAAAAAGTTGTTTAATAAAAATATATGAATATATAATAATATGGTAATAGGAAAAAGTGGAAAAAGTAACATTACGTCGTATGTAAATTTAAAAAAAACTTGTAAAATTAATTAAAATAATGGAATTAAAATGCAGCACTAACTATTGAATACTTACAAAACCTAGATATCTAAATAACGATAAAAAATAAAAAATAATCGCTCTTTAAACTATTCTAATAAAAAATAAGTAATTTATTGTAAATGTGTGGGGATGTGATCTATGACTGAAAGAGGAATGGAGCGCTGTGAATAATGATGACCTATACAAATAACAAAACACAAAACATCCATTTCTTTAATTCATTGTACTTAATAACATCAATTAATCTATTTTATATTTACATATCATAATAATATCATAATCACTAATCATAAGAACACAAAAAAAACATTATCAATCTGTTAGTTCAATGGAGTGTACGATATTTTTGGTTAGTCCATCTTTAGCCAACACAAACTGGATAGTTTACCTACGCGAGAAGATGCCACGTATAATTGTCCATGTAAAAATCACGGTTTACTTAAATCTAAGCCACAAACAGACATTTTTTGACCTTGCGACTTATTGATTGTCACTGCGAATGCCAATTTAATTGGAAATTGAACGCGTTTGAATTCAATTGGTACATCTGGATCATTAGTACATTAATTGGTTCTTTTACGTTTTGCTGGCATTGTAAACTGGAAAAAACACACATAAATAGATCAAATTGAAGTACTTAACGATGAAAAAAAGAATACAGATAATATATTTGTTCTTTTATTATATTTCCTGGGCAGATATATCAACTATAAAGACTTATGGGGTTAGTGATAAGTTATGGTTTGATAAATATGCTAAAATTAATAAAGAAATTGAACATGTGATTAACAATACTGCTTTTAAAATAAAACATTATTTATCTTTTAAATGAAAGGTTTGCTTAATAAAAAAACTCTAGTTGATATATTAAAAAATATAATGTCTTCTAAGTAAAAATTAGAAAATCTAATTACCTTACCTTGCTTTGATTTCGCTTGTATGCAAATGCAACGACAAAGTCTTGTTAACACTTAATATTGTTGATTAACCTATTAAAAATTTAAGGTTAAGTGAGAAACGAAAAAGGCACGATTATATTATTTAAAAAATTTGTAGTCATAAATATTATCGCCTCGATAATAAAGATAATAAATATATAGATAGATCTGAATATACGTACATAAGATTTGTCTTCTTTTTCTCTTTTTTCTTAATATTGTAGCTGTACACTAAATAGCGTCGTTATATGACAAACGGTCCATGCGCGATGCAAAGTCAACTGCACACGCGCGGTAACTTGCTATCTCGACCAGTGATCCCAGAAACTTTAGTTCGTTTGATCGACACAGGGGCGCAAAATTATCGTACGCAGCAGAAAATTATCGTACGCCCCGGGAAAATTTGAAATCCGACAAAAATCCAACAATCTCGGACAAAATTTTGAAAAAGTTGGAAAAAGTGTCCAAGTTCCAACTTTTTCAAGTTGATGACCTTTTTTTTTTTCTTTTTTTTTTAGTCATCAAGTTCCTAAACCCTATCATGAAAACGATAAAAACGGTTAAACGATAAAACGATAAAAAAGTTTTCGAAATTCCAAAAGGATCGTACAGGACCTCAAATTATCGTACGAATGGGATCGCTGCTTCTCTGTAGGAGCAAAATTGGCGGATGAGTCTCTATACAACCTAGAGACCCTATAGGAGGGACGCGCTATGTACATTGCTGGGGGACAGGAACTCGTGTAGTCACGTGATTGCGCACGAATGATTCAAACGATAAGTTATAGGTTAAGTTTGTACATTTATACTTGTAATTATTAAATGAGTAAATTAAACTTACACTTATAGAAAACTACTAAAAAAAAAAAAAAACAATTAAATATAAATATCGCATTAAAAACTATAAGTATTACAAACTTAAACTAACCACAGCCGTTAATACATACTAAAGATAAACAAGGCTGCGCGATGCAACGGAAGTTGTCCCCCCACATTTTCAGCCTTGCAATCTACATGGCGCGTCCCTCCTATAGGGTCTCTACAACATCAGCAAACATAACGAAACCTAGCGGCGTATTTCCGAAAATAATCTTTCCTTTTCTTTCCATTCGTATTTGCTAGTAATTTTCCTATGTCGATCGCCCTCCTGGTATCTATGCTCTGTGGTTAATACGTTAAGCGCCACGCCGGTCCCTAGGGACCAGCCCTGGATTTTCGTTCTGTATCCCAGAGCGTGTGTCGGTCCCAGTGCTGTCAGATCGTGGGTAAATCTTACCCTCTCCCTGTGCCACTGGGATTGCACACAATGAAAGTTTTCCATGTCCGTGTGTTCGGGATGTCGAAAGAAGTCGAGTGTAACCGAAGTTGGCGGTTGGCCACGAAGTGGCACATTATGAAAGCGACTCGTGTCGTCCGAACACATGGACACGAGTCGCTTTCATAGTGTGCCACTCCGGCGTGCCCGCCAACTTCGGTTACACTCGACTTCTTTCGACATCCCGAACACACGGACATGGATAACTTTCATTGTGTGCAATCCCAGTGGCACAGGGAGAGGGTACGATCTACCCACGATCTGACAGCACTGGTCGGTCCTTGCGTACTTGTGAGACTGAACATTTAAATTATACGATATCGGTCTTTTTTGGTCAATGCTTCAAGGAAAAGAATATAATACCTAAATACATTAACGTAATTTATTAAAACAAAATAAGCAAAGGTGAGGTTTCTGTGTACATTGGTTACATAAGGTTGTTACTTTTTGTGTTACATTTTTAGCTGTCTTTGGTCTTAATATTCGTACATACTGATTCTAGCATTCGGTGCAATATCTTCTAATTTGTGAGCTCTGCCTTTCTTTTTTTTTTTTGAAGTGAAAACTTCTTTAGAATGGGAGTTATCTGAAAAGAAAAGAAACGCAGCTATGTGTAACGAAGCTATGAAACGGCTGCTATACTAAATAACAAGAGAAAGAGAGACAAACATATAGGATTGAGCCTGCGAGAGAGAGACGGAATATGGCTATCTAGTTTTTTCTATTCTCGGTCTCATCTTTATGCTATGCTTCGTAGTTATCGCTCCTGGTTGTATATGTGTGTGTTTGTATGCGACTGCATACTACAAAGCGTGGACACGTATTCTTTCGATACTCGAAATGTTTGTAGGTAGGAGCGATAGAAGGGTAGAAGGAATAAGCAGAGATAAGCGTTTAGGTATGCGACAAAAGTATAAGGTCCAAACGAACCGACGGTCGAAATAAAGAAAGAACGTGCATGGTCTGTTTTTATTTTACCAAACGTGTTATGTCTTTTCTATTTAAAAATGTTTCTATTTTATTGAAAAATGAATATTAAATTATTATTTATTTCGCAAATATTATAATTAACAATTATGAAATATATAGAATATAATAATTGTATTGTCTTCAATATTTTGCAAAAAAATTAAATGATTGTCAGATATATCAGAGAAAAAAAATTAAACAACATTTTAGAATATTTTTCTTATAAATATCCAAAGACATGTTTTTTAATTATAATGTTTGCTTATTTAGGAAATTTATACTAATTTTTCAATAAAATAGAAAAGTTTTTAAATAGAAGAAACTAGACACGTTACAAAAACAAATAAACCTTAATTACTTTATATTTCCAATAAGAATATAATAATATAACTTATTTTACAAATATGGAAAAAAAATACAAAAAATAAATTTAAAAAAAAATGTTTAATATTTTGAAATAAAACCACGAAAATAGAAATAGATTTTAAAATCGTTGTAATTCAAAACCCGATGAAACAAAAAAAATATGACAACAATTGTTCCCTTTTTTAACTGCATCTACAGTTATTAGTTGCAACACAAAAAGAAATACTTGTGTATGCTAACCCATGATAAAGATATCTCACATTCACAGAAAG